TTAGGACCGAGTAGAGATATTAACACTCAGATATTTAGGACCGAGTAGAGATATTAACACTCAGATATTTAGGACCGAGTAGAGATATTAACACTCAGGTTTTCAAGAAGATTGCAAAAGTATTGTTTCGGTTTACATTTAACTAACAGTCAGACATAAGAAATTAATTCTGGGTGATTGCAAACTTAATAGTCAATATCTTGTATGTCCTCCTCTAGCCTTACCTATAAACCACGACTTTGGTCAAGCAGGATGTTACATTTTTTTGCAACTATAATCAAGTTTTTTCTTCCATTTTTGCTGTAGAATTAGTAAGAATTGCCACAGATTAGTCAATTTCTCTTTTGCAACATTACTCTTCAACTTGTTTTAAAACTTTTCAACTGAATTAGCATCAGAAATTTGTGTTTACCATTTCACAAATTTTAGTATCACCAGTTCCTTTTCTCTCTCTTTCCCAAATACATCTCATTTAAGAAGGTTGAATTTTAGGATCATTATACTGATGAAATTCAAAGCCAGGACAAATCAAACACCATCGACTGAAAAACTGTGTGACAAACCATTGCTTCTTTGTCATAACATCATCAATTGTGAAAATATTTCTCACTATTAACTTGACAATAACAGTTCATATTTACAGCCTTAACACTGATTTGTTTTCAAGCTTAGTTGAAGTGGTGTAACATACATATGAAAACGACTTGTCTTTTGGTAACGCCCCGTTCATCTTATCTCGCTTAGCAACAAAACTATGACTTAGTATTGTTGTCTTAAGCATGTATATAATACTTCTAATGTTCACGTGGGCTGGCTTGAATTTCTCTTTTTTAGATCGTTTTAGTTGATGCATATACTTAGCTTGATGTAGACATTTAGAAGTTATTGGCGAGTTTTAAAAACATCTAAGTTAGATGGTTAGTGACCATAATTCGTATGTTTTTATTAGGTTTTCGGGAAGTTTTTCAGTCTTCTTATAACTTTTTGTATAAAACATCTTTCTTTCTTTCTGCCAAACGTATTGCCATTAGTCTAACTAATATTAACACCTAAAATTAATTTTGAGGTTTAAACTTTGTGACAATTTTTTTCTTATCATAAGCCTTAGGCCTAATGGTTTTTGATGATTCATCTTCTTTCAGCGTTAAACGTAATCTTAGGTTATATAACTAGAAAAACACGTTCTGGTACCTGTGAAATATCGATGTATTTGTGAAATATTTCACTTACTACAGAACCGGTTGAGTAAGACAACTTCATGAAATAGATAATCAAATTTATGAAACGAATTTAAATGTAACAAATACATATAAAAGCCAGCTGTCAAGTTGTGTGAGCCCGTAAAGCTTATGTTACGAGTCATTTTTAATATAAGTTGCACCTAAATATCCTATTGATATTTTGAGAGTGTACCTGAAAATTGTTTTTATTTTTTCAATGTGGGTAGTTTTTCTTTTATGATAAAGGGAAAAGGTTGGTGAACAAAGCAAGCTGAAGGAAGCACCCCCCCCCCACCCACACACACACATTTATTTTAAACGAAACACCAACCATTCATTTTTTGACGGGTGGGGCAAAGCAAGAAACATATGAAGGGCAGAAATTCTGCTCTGAAACAATCACAGTAATATCTTTATGAATAACTATCCTCCATGTGAACAAGGCTGTGTAAATTCAATAGTTAGTACTTTTGAAATATATGTTCAAAAACACTTAGCAATTGCAAAGGAAACAAAGTCTCATGGCTGGGCACATGGAACACCAGTAGGCAACACTTTAAGATAATTGGATGTTGTTTGAATGAGGAAAAACTTCCGATCAAGGAGTCTTTATATATCAAAATACTTCGACTAAGCTTGAACATCTCTATCTCTCTTGCAGCACAAAAACATCCTACCCTGTGTTAGACTCAACACCATGTTTTGCTGTTTTATTTACATATACTTGCTTACATTTTTCATGGTTACTCTCACCACAAACATTGTTCTAGCTTCCAAAAAAGCTCAACCTTTGTTTCATTACTTCAAAGCACTCTGACCCATTTCTTTCAAATTGTGTTGTCATTTGCAAAGTATAAATGCTTGACCTTTTTTTCACACTTGAAATGTATTTCTTGGGTCTAATTTTTCCATAGAGTTCACCTTCTTACTACCACTTTCAAAACATTTCTACTGCTAATTATAACTCCATTTATATCACCTATTTCTGTTTTAGGTTGATTTCATGAAGAAATTCCTTGGTTCTATCTTCTTTCTTGGACACTTTACTCAAATGTTCCTTTATATATTTTAGATTAAACTTTCATTTGCAGTGAAATACACTAACATTATTTAAACTACATCCTTAAGTTTTGAACAATATCCCATTAAGATTTTGTTTAATTTGTGCTTATTTTTGTCAATGCTAATTCTAAATTGTTGTTGTTTTTCTCACTTTTAAACCATATTGAAATGTGCAGTATCTTTGGATGGCATTGAGATTTTATTGTTCATTTACTGTAAAATCAACGGAAACAAGACTGTTGGTGATTCAAAACAAACAGGTGTCTAAAAAAACATCACTATGAAAATATGTATCCACGAATCAATCCAACTCAATTTACATTTAATTGTGCCCAATGGTCGATCTATAATTATAACTATTCATGAAGTGAACAACTATATAATTATAATTGCAAAACAACCTGTGGATATAATGGAGAAAGATACAAGTGAATAATAAGTAATACAAAGGTTAGTAAGTCTGATCAATCTTTGTTAGAATTTCACAACTGTCATTTATCTTTTCAGAACTATGTGTAACTATTAGTTTACCCATCCACTATGATGGCAAGAGGAGGAATGCTAGAAATTAGAAATTTTTCTGTCCTTTATGGTCCATATAATATCAAAAACTTTATACGTGTAACCAACTTTGCTAATCACTCCATCATAAATAAATGAATAAATCTCATACAAATTTTGACAATATAGATATTTTAAACAGAAGCCACTGTTCCTTTACAATTAGACATTTTTTCCCCAAAGTTTTTTTTACAGAGGTCAATTATTATATTGACTGCTATTCTAAATTAAAGTATATACAACTTAGTATTTGATAATTATTATGTAGATATATTTTACTGGCTAACTTTTTGGATAGTTGGTTTAGAACCTACAGTGCTCAAAAGTGTAATTTCTGAAATTAGGAAAAGAGATTAGTTTATGAACATGCTCAAAAATGTGTGCTTGAACTACTTGAAATAATTGCAAATTCTGAGTTTTTCATCTGACTTGAAAATATCTTTGGCTAGAGTATGTCATAAGCATCACCAAAAGTGGTGAAATAATTATACATACAACCATAAGAAATTAATATTTTAGTCAAAGTAATGATATAAATTGAGCAAAAGAAAAGTATAATGGCAGAAGACTTTTTGATTATACTGGAAGTATAGGCTTTAAAAAGTGCCATTGTAAGGCATGTGTTAATTGAAATGTACTAAATGATTTTTTTTTTTTAGATAAATAAGCATTAATTTTTTATCACCGAGATGAAGGATGCGTAGTTATATAGTGTATAGTATGTGTGTGTGTACATACATAGCTGTGTTTACTCAATTTTTGAATTACTCCCACAATTTGTGACAAAACACGTCACGGTGAAATACTGATAATCTTTAGAAGTTCACACTTTTAATGTTATGCCAGCATAAAAATTTATACTGAACACAGTGTTCACATCATTCTATGCATATCTTAGAAAAAATGTGATATTTCCAGATGTTCAGAGATCATGTTAGAGATCAGTATTATTTTAATGCATTACTATATTTTGGCTATACTACTTTCAGCACTTGTTACATAAAATTTAAAACAGCAGGCATTAGGGCTTTATTTTTTCAACCAAATTATTGTTTAACAATAATTGGAAGATGCTTACAAATTTTACCTTTCTAAACTGGTGTAACTATGAATTAATGATACAATTATTAGTTTCAAATGAAAAACAACAATTATTGAATTAAGTGTGATACCTTAAAATTTATTCTACACTCTGATACTTACTTGTACCATTTACATTACGGGAAAGAATTCGGCTTCCCATGCATCCTGCTGGACCTAAGGCTGACAGGGGAGGCCCGGATGATCCGGAACCAGAACCTGGACCAGGCACTGATGTGGGTGTGGCATCAGAAGTGACAGGCACAGGACAGTGGTTAAGGTAGTCACGAACTTGTTCCATTGATGGACTACTACAGAGTGGCTAGATGAAATAAATCAAGTCAACATCAGGTGACAGTACCTGACTGAACCATTGCTGGACTACTACACAGTAGCTACATGAAATAACACAATTTCAGAACCAAATGATCATGCATTCCCAAATCATTGATGGAATTCAGTAGAGTAGCTACATGAAATGACACAAAAAGTCAACATCATGTGATCATGAATGACCAAATCATCAATCGACTACAAGAGACTGGCTACTTGAAGTAACACAAGAAGTCAATATCAGATGACCAAGAATGACTAAATCATTGATGGAGTACTACAGAATAGATACATGAAATAACAAAAGTCAGCAGTATATGACAACACCTGGTTGAACCATTGATAAACTACTACAGAGTGACTAAATAAAATAATACAAATTCAGAAGGTCATACATGACTGAACCATTGATAGCATGCTACAGTATGGCTATATGAAATAACAAAAGTCAGTGTTAGGTGATCATGCATGATTGATCAGTAGATGGTACAGATGGCTACTGGATTAACACAAGTTTATTCAAAACAGTAACTGGACTGGCTCATCAATAAAATGTGTGACAAGACACAACAGAATGCTTAATGAAAACTGTGCCATAACACAAGAATATAGCTTTATTTTTTCAGTAAGTAATCTTTTAACATTAATTTCATATTAATGTAAAATCAGATGATGCTGTAAACAAAAGTTGAGGTAAGATCTACCACAATGCAATTTCATTAAGAAAACTACACTGCAGAGAAATTCAACACCACAGTATCATATAAACAAATCTTAAATTACAGTGATATCTGAACTTACACCAAGATTAACCACCAGATGGTATCATGTCTTGAGGTGTGACCACAAAATCAAACATAAAAATTAAATGATTTACCAAAATTCAGTATTATATACGATACTCTACTGTAGGGGTAATACTATAGATGCAGTTCTAAGGTAAAAATTTATATCTAATTATTCTTACTATACATCACCCCCACCCCCCCACCAAGACATTAACATTTTCTTGAGATTTAGTAAATACAAAACTAATATTAATTCCCAATTTTTGTTGGTGGAAGTAGAAAAAAAGGGTCAAAAAAATTAAATTTTTTTAAATTAAAAAAAAGCACACCAAAAAAAAAAAAGATTTACAATCAAATTTTCTAGGTTTTTTTACAATTTACTGCTTACACATTATAAACATTTATAATCTGAGTGTTCTATGTCACAATGTTCTTGGGATATCTTTGGATGTAGTTAAAGGGCATGGACCACCAAAATATAATATATCATTACATTTCTACAACCTATGCAATGATTATTTACAATTTTTTAAAATTCAATATAGCTTAAATTCTAAGAGAATTCCTTTCTACACAGTGTGCTGCAAGAAGAGACCCAAAGAGACAGACTTCTGTCAAAACACAGATATTCCATCTCAACATGACATACACATATTCCATCACCTAAGGTACAACTCTTACTCTTTTTTTTTTTGGCTATAATTTGAACAAGAATCCAGCAACTGGTTATACAAGATATGCATGACATCATTAAACACAATATGAATAATGAAAATATAAACAACTCTGCTCGACAGAAACCATGGAAGACTTGAAGATATGTACATATTTTTTGTGCTTACAATTAAGTTAAATGATATGTTTTACTGAATAATCTTCTGTATTTTAATAAATCCTACACCTAATAGTGCAATGGTTATTTGTACTTAAATGCTCACCAACCACAACTCTGTCTATCATATTCATGTCGGATGCTAATATTACATCTAATATAGCTTCCCCTCTTGTAGGTTCCATCACCATTTGGTGTATAAAAGTATCCTGAACAATTTCCAAAAACCTATCCCCCTCACTATCAGATTCAAACTTTTCCCAATCAACACCCCTGAAATTAAAATCTCCCACAATAACAACATCTTTTTTCAGCTACCATTCTGATCTCATTATACAATTTATCGTAAACTTCTACATTCTGACTTGGTGGTCTATAACAAATCCCTATTACAAGACTTTCTTCTTTATATCCACCAACACTAATCCAAACTGAATCAACCTCAGTGCTATTTTCTTTAATATGCTCTAACTCAACAGGATGCAATTCATTCCTCACATATAAAGTTGCTCCTTCCTTTCTTTTCAATAGTCTATCTCTAGTAAATAATCTGTAGCCTGGTATTTAAAAAAACTTTCTCTCATTAAAATTGTTCAAATCCAACCAAGTCAGTGTGGAGAGAAACTCTTGCAATTACACCAACACTAAATTACAAGTTTAAGAAATATTTCTTCTTGAAATTTTCTTTATTACATCATGTGAATAAACAATAAATCAGTTACATGAATTGTACTTGTGAAAATGGTATGCTAAAATTGAGATAGTGCATCAAAACTACATCATGGCAGAAGTGTCCCCTATTGATACCAAGAAAGTCACTTTTATTGTAACTGCTGGCATAAAAAATTTTTACAACAATAAAATAATGGTAATTAAAAAAAGTCTTTACAAATGAGACAAGCTGCCAGTCATAAAGTTTACCAGAGTACATTAGAAAATATCAAATTAAAGTTCAAAGCTATAAGGTTTAAAATCAACTTTAATAACTTAGCATTAAAACTCTTAACTAGGTCTAATAGACATACCAAGGCTGGTAATCATATCCTTCCTGCATGCTTTACTATCAGCCACTAGCACATAAATCTTGTTCACAAAATAATATGTAATATTATGTGTTTCATGTACTCTACTGATTAAAGTTCTAGGTCAATCATCATCTGTTATATGGTACTGCTTTTATATGACTTCTGTCCAGTATTCATCCAATCTTTCATACAGTTAAATTCCCACACTCACCCAAAATGCACATAATCTACTAATGTGTAAAGGAGAACAGGAAAAGTAAAGTAGAGGAAGCATATCTTTTAAGATTATTTCAATGCTAAAATACTAATTCACAAAAATAGTACCTATGAATCCATAAACTGAAATGGAAGCAAGAGGAAGAACAGAAGAGAGCCTAGCAGTTCTAAATTGGATGAAAAAATTTTACAAGATTCAGAGAGACAATGTGGATCTCCATAGCTTTTTGTATGATGGCCAGATAATTTGGCAGAAAGACTTGTCACTGTAATTCCATAAACCAGAAAACACACAGGGTGGGATGAATATCAGGTGTGAAAGGGTGCCTTCAGGCTTTATTCATACATACTCACAATACCACACGAAGAAGACAAACAGAGAAGACAGCAACCACTTTCCATGATGAAAGATTCCAACAGGTCAAGCAGATTTTAATTACAGACTCCAAATAACTTCAAAGCTAAAATATCCCCTCGAACAAACCCGTGCAGAGATGGAGCATACACTTGGAAGACATCTCGTCATCTACACCAGTAGAACATTAGCAACAGAAAAAAGTGGTGGAGAGTCTGGAGGAGTGTTCATACTGGAGACAGTGCAATGGGTACAATAAACCCTATTTTAAAAAGCAGACCAAACCCAATTTATTCAATCTAAGAAATGGCAGGGATGGGCAGTAATCCCCTTCTGCTTTACCCATGAAGTCCATGGATTAGTATTGTCCAGAATAGGAATATTTATGAAGCAAAGATATCGTGAAGAATAACCTATGAGTGATCTTGTGGAACACCCCATCTCTAGTTTATGTGATTGTAATGAATAGTGTGCATTTTGTGGCCATGGAAATTATGAAAATGAAGTCAACATGACCTTAAGGTGCGGGTTTCAATACAATTCTAAGTGATTGAAGTATACCTGGATAGGCACCACTTGCCACTGAATGAGATTCTGGTCAAAACATGGGACAGGTCCCTTAAAAATAATATATATATATATATAACAAAAGAAAGAAAACTTATCCAGTTACAGTCTCACCAAAGAGGGAACGATGACGATAGGTGGAAGACAGTATTCAGACGAGGAAGAAACAGCTACTGAAAGCAGTTAATAGGAGATGAACATATGAGGTGTAATCCCAGTGCTCATTACAGATTACCTTTCCAGTCCTGACACACTTTCTCCTAATGAGTGGCCTTTCAATCCTCAAATTTTTGGTGGCTCCACCCCCAGTGGGGTACTCCTCCATGGGAAGTGTTTGACTGTGAGCAGAAATTGTCCACACGACTGTGATCAAAGACTACATATTAAAAACAGGGAAGAACCAATAAATAATTGAGGCAGAACAAATTGATTCAGAACTCCAATCAGCATCAAGCATACATAATGAATAACAAAAAAGACAACAGCAGAAATTAGGATAAAGGTCCAAAACTTTTACAATAACCTCATTATCCAAAAGTAAAGATTTTCTTGATGTAAGAAGTACCTTCAATGGATGACGGGGTTGAGATGCAGGTAAAAGGTAAGGTGCCTGAATGAAGTAAAGACACCAGGAATTGATTATGGGAAGAAGGAGACAAGGTATAAAAGGCCAATCGAATCACAAGCCAAACCCAATGGGTAAGAGAAGGAGGGAAAAAAATCACAAACAGGGAAGCATTGCAAGGGAATGAAACTGTGGGAAATGGAGTCAACGAAAAGATGCATTGAAAGCAAAGAAGCAACCCACAGCATGTATGGGACAGAGAAGGTTATCCAGATCTGACCAAGAATAAAGGTGGAAGATGGGAAGAAATGAAAATGACTAAAAGAATATTCCACATGAACCCCCAAAGTGTAGGTTAGCAAAATCGATCCAGAACAAAAAAAAACACATCAAGCTGAAACAGCTGAGAAAACCAGATCTGTGCTGGCCAGGAATGACCAATTAGAAAGACTTTACCCAGAGTGGCATGGATGATCAAAATCACCTTGGAAAGAAGACTGATGGAATAAGAAAAATTAAAATTATAAACTGGATCTAATCCTGTCTGGACATTTTGACAGCCAGGAAGAGTGGATAGTGAACCAGAGACCATAAAAAAACAAGGTAATTTGGAATCGAGAAAGGAGTCAAACACTTCCCGT